CAGCATGGAACAGACCCTTTGGTCGAATTCATTCATGCTAACCAGGGATCCTAAGCTGAACTAGTCCCATTTGCCTGCCTTTGACAGATATCCCTCCAAACCTTTCCTATTCACGTACCTGTCCAAATGTCTTTTAAATGTTGTAACTATACCTGCCTCTACCACTTCCTCTGACAGTTTATTCCATACACGCACTATCCTCTGCATGAAAAAAATTCCCCTCAGGTTCCTTTTAATCTTTTCCCTCTCACCTTAGTCAAAAAGCAGTATTGGAGCAATGAAAGGGAATGAAAGTTCACAAATCTTCGAGACTCAATGATCAACACCTCAGTGTTCAAACAGGAGGCTATACAGATAATGGATACATTGCTGGCCATCCTTACAAGTTCTACAGGTTCTGGACTGCTATCTGTACTTTCTGCTCCCAGTAAAGTCTAGGATACAGTATGCTTCATTAACTGCTCTCCATACACTTGTCTTGCCACATAATGTTCTATGCAGATTCCTGCGCTCCTCTGTTCTCGAATTCTATCCCTCATTTTATAACACCTTCCATGTTCTTCCTACTAAAATACATCAGCTCACACTTTTATGCACAACTTCATCTCGTACCTACCCACCCCTCAACCAACTTATCTATGAGCGTTAGAGATTCTACACTGTTTCCTCAGTTTATATAGTTGTCAAGTTTTGTATCATCGATAAATTATGAAATTGTCTCCTGCACACCAGGAGTTAGATCATTAATATACATATCAGCGATAACAAGAGTCCCAATATCAACGACAGGGGAACCTCTCCACAAACCTTCCTCCAACTTGAAAAATATCCATTGACCACAACTGTTTCTTATAGCTCGGCCAAATTTTTGTCCACCTTATCACTGTCCCTTTTATTCCATGAACTATAGCTTTTCACACAAGTCTATTACATGGCATTATATCAAACACTGGATGTACAACTCATCAAAAGTATTGCTCTCATAGACCCTGTTACCTCTTCAAAAAAATCCTACAAGTTAAATTTAATTTCCCCTTTAGATATCCATGCTTATCCTGTTAAATCAACCCACTTTTTTCCATTGTCCATTTCCATAGTCTACCCAATACTTCTTCCTTAACAATTTTAGGCATTTCTAGTGAGAGTATCTATCTGTCTCCATGGCCTAGGGAATGTCAACCTCCTTGATTCCTTTAGTGCTCTATGCTTCCATGTCCCCTCTACCGTCCCTAATTAGCCCTACTCCTCTGTTTAGCACTACAACAGAAAACAGGCAATATGAATAAACAAGTAATTCTTAGGTTGGCAGGCATGATTAATAGGTTACCATAAAGATAAATACCTCCATCCCAACTATTTGCAACATATATCCATGATTTGGATATAGGAACCAAAAGTAGGATTTCCAAGTTTGTTCATGACTCATGTATGAGTTGTTACAAGTATGAAGCGAAGAAGCAAGAATATGGAAGATGCAACATAATATGGATTTTCTGAAGTTATCCAGTTTAATAGGAGGAATGGGGTGCTGACTACTTTTTATATAGTGGGAAATTGCAAAGTGTTGCTGTTCAAAAGGACCTTGCTGGATTTGTTCATAATCATTTAAACCTAAGCCCTTCATTGCAAGGGGATTTGATTTTAGGAGTAAAGATGTCTTTCTTCAATTATATGCTAACAGTGTTGAGGCTACACCGGGAGTGTTGTGTGTAGTTTTGGTCCACTTTCATAGGAGGAATTTATTTGCCATAGAAATAGTGCAGGGAACTAATTACTGGGATAGCAGGATTGTCCTATTAAGAGAGATTGAGGAGACAGGGTGTGTATTCTCTGAACTTTTGAGAAATAAAGGTAATTAATTGAAGCTTGCAAATACTTAAACTGTTTGATATGGCAATGCAGAAAGGATGTTTTCCATGTCTGGGGTTGGGGTAGTCTACGAGATGAAAGAGTCTCAGAAGAAGGGACAAGCCATTTAAGACTGGAATAAGGAGGAATTTGGTCACTCAGACATTGGGTATCTTTGGAATGAGTATCACAGAGGGATGTGGTAAAACCTGAATATGTTCAAGTTAGAGATCAAAGGAATTCTACGTATTAATGACAGTGAGGCATATGGGGATAGCATGCGAAAATGGCATTGAGGTAAATGAACAGCCACGACCATGAGTGGTGAAACAGGCCTGCAGGGCAATACTGACAATATACAGTAGTTTCTGTCAAAACACAGAGAAAATTTATCCAAATCCAGAATAAGTGTCTTTGTATTTGGATTGGTGCTCTGAGTATAACACTGCTTACAGATAGTCTTGGTCAGAAGGCTGGAGTTATGTGCCTTAAGGAGGAGTATAGTGCAGATTTGGCTTAAGGGTGAAATTACAAGGATGGTTACATACACTTGCTTTGTATTCCCTTGACTTTGAATAGTTCAGATGCATAAATAGAGATTTAATGGTTAAATAAAGTTATTTCCTTTGATGAGGAAACTCAGATCAAGGGGCACAGTTTTAAAGTTAGAACTGGCCCATTCACATTGAAGACACGGAGCATGTTTTTAAACAAAGACTTTTGCAAATCTTGAACTCTCCCTTAATTTTCAATACTGTAATTGACCAATGTGGCTTATAAAATTATCAAGAGACAAGTTGCAAGGAAGGTTAATCTAGTTCTACTAATGGTTTATTGAATAGTTTGATTTGCTGAACAACCATTCTAAGAAAATGGCATGTGAAAAAGAGGAAAATAAACTGTTGTTTTAGATGCAGCAGGAATAGGTGAAGTACAAAATTAATACTTCACATGTATCTTTACCAAGGGAGGTAGTGCTACCCAGGCCATTGTGGAAGAAAGGGTTCTGGAGTACTGACTTGATTTGCTTAAAATTGCTAAGGAGGTGATATTGGACATGTTGACTATTTAAAGTTTATAAGACACCAGGACCAGGTGAAATGTACTCAAGGATTAGTGAGAAAATTGAAGGTGGAAACTCAGAGGTTCTGGCCAGAATTTTCTGACCCTCCTTTGATATAAGGGTAGTACCAGAGTACGTGAGAATGACAATGTTAACCCTTTGTTCAAAAAGGAATGCAAAGATAAGTCCAATATCTACAATCCAGTTAACCTTGGTAGTAGGGAAGCTTTTAGAAGCAATGATTTGGGACAAAATCAGTAGTTGCTTAGGCAAAAACAGATTAATTAAAGGAAAACAGCACTGACTTGTTAATGGCAAATCATGTTTTATTAAATTGTTCAAATTTTTTTTTGATGAGATGAGAGAGACGACTGATGAGGATAATTTACGTGGCATACATAGACTTCTGAATGCATTATTCTTCAGTTAATGGCTACAAATCTGACTTTCTTTCAGGCGAGCAAATTTCTGATGATTGCTACTTAGACTTGCTACAGAACTTAAATTATATTTTGCACACAGTTAAACAGTAATGAAAATATATTCTCTTAGAACAATTAGGAAGCAGATGAAACAACTAAGTCCTGCATTTTTCCAACATACTAAATACCATCTGTTATAACTGGAAGGAATGTAAAAGTAATGGCATGCAGTGAAAGTCTATAATATTCACTTTCTATGCGTCTTGGAGGCAACACAAATAAATTTCATTAGATTGGTTCCTGGTTTGAGAGGCTCAGTAAAGTGAGTCGATTCTTCCCTGGAGTTTATCAAATTAGACGTGATCAACATGAAACATACAAGCTCCTGAAAGGACTTGAAAGAACAGTCTTAGAGATTGTTTCTCCTGGCTAAGGAATCTAGAATGCAGGGCAGTGTTTCAAGAGAGGATGCTCGTTATTTAGGACTGAGATGGAGGAAAATTTCTTCACTCAGTGGATCATAAATCTTTGAAAATGTTTTCAAAAGAAGTATAACCATGATTGATCAAAAAATTATCCAGGTATCTGGCACCTCCATGACAGAGTTTGTATTTGTTAGTTGGATCAGGTGATCTTGTGTCTCACTTTCAACCACATATATATCAGTGCCAGACAACTACAAAGCGTTACAACAAGATGCAGGGCTGGATGAACACAGCAGGCCAAGCAGCATCATAGGAGCAGAGAGGCTGACGTTTCGGGCCTAGACCCTTCATCAGAAAAGGGGGAGGGGAAGGGGGTTTTGAAATAAATAGGGAGAGAGTAGGAGGCGGATAGAAGAGGGATAGAGGAGAGGATAGGTGGAGAGGAAA